AGAAGCTAATGACCTGTGTAAGGTAAACTGTAACTCAAACATATCAATATCACCTCAGGTTAAGAAGAGTCCAAATATAACTTTTATAACCATTTACATGCATTTATTTTATGAGGAGGAAAACACATATATAAAGATAAGTCTTGTCAATTATCTAAAATAATTTGTGCAAGATAAAATCATGGGAAAATTCAGGTAGGCTCTACTTAACTTATATAACTGACTATAATTTTGGTATAATTTAATAACTAAATTTGATACCTAAAGTAAATCAGTCAAACCAGTCAAATAGTAGGTTAATTATAATTCTTAATTAGCTAAAACCTACCCTCACCAAATGTGCATTAAACTGCATGGAAGTGTATAGAAGTGTATAGGGGAAATAATTTATTCAAATACTAGGTTTCCAGAATTTATCTTCTCTGTTTAGGTCTCCTAAAAATCCAAACTAGTTTCCAATGAGCCCATCTTCTTCTAATTTCTGTGAGCAATCTATCCATAATTTTCAAGTGTAATCAAAGAAAGTGGAAATTAGGCATAATCATCTGCCTCCAGTAAAATCAACACTAGTTAATCTCGTCCACACATTAAGTTATGAAGCTACAAAGTTAGGAAAAAATAATTCCGGAAATTCATCCAAAAACCAATCTCACCCACGTTTGTACCCACACCTCTCTCTTCCACCTAGTTTGCCACGACCTGGGCCCACCTGGCAGCCTCCCTGGCTTGCCCACGCCCTGTCCATCTCCTCCTCCACCGCTCTACCCGACCAACAGACCAGAGAGACAGGAGAGAGAGACCGAGAGCTGGGCGCGTCGACGCGTGGGAGCGACGTGTCCACGCCCTCAAAACGCCAAACCTTGCTCTCTATCTTTCCCAGTCACATCGCCACACCTCACTCACCATTCCTATGCCAAGAGAACCGAGGGAGAGAGCTCTAGCTGCTCTCCTCGCCTTCGATCTCACCGCCGGCCGTGATGAAGACGAATCTTCGCCAATCCTATCTCTTCCACGTTCCATACTCTCCTCACCATGCCGAATATTTCTCCTTTTGATTTCATCCTCTCTCGTGCAGCCAATCGACGGGAACGCTGCCGTGCCCACCGGAGCTCTGGAGCGCGCTCTGCGCACCGCCGCAGCGACATTGTCGCCGTTCCGGCCATTGTAGACCGTCGTAGGCTGAGCCACAGCACCACCAACACCTTCTCCACATCCTCTCCAAAAACCCCCCAAGAATTCCCAAGAATCGTGCACTGAGGAGGGAGATTGACTCCCTCTTCCCCAATTCCAGCCGTCAAGCTCCACCTTCGATTTCTCCCTCTCCGGTGAGTCACAGTTCAATTTCTCGGGCATGAAGCTTTCCTGAGACCTATTCAACACCGTGTGTGTAGCTAAACATCTAGATCAATGCTCTAGCTCCACATGCACCGTCACCGGAGAACCACCGCGCCGCTCGCGCCGCCGTCGCCATTAATTCCGGTGACCAATGCTTGCAAGAATACCACCTATAGCCTCGCCTTGAACCCCTTTACATTTTCTCCTTAGGTTGCACGCCGAGATCTGCCGCCGTTTGCCGCCGGCGAGCTCGAGAACGAGCTCGGCCATGGCTAGCTCTGTGTCAGCTCAAACCAAGGACCTCACTTGAGAAGAATCAAAACTCTAGGTACTAGTTTGTAAAACCTATCTCACACACAAAAAACCTACCTGATCAGATCCACTACAAAAGAAATTGATGGTAAGACTACACTATAAAATATCATCTCAAAGATTATATATCATGTGTATATGAATTTGGTGGTAATATATAATACTAACAGATAAAAGAATTGCATAGAGGTATAGAAAAGAGGAAATTGAGGGCCATAGACATCCTTATTATTCCTATATTGTGATAGTAAGTTTTCAGACTTCCCTATCTAATAATGTCGCATCCCAATGTTTGCCTATATGAAAATATATACTCCCTCCGTTTCACAATGTAAGTCATTTTAGCATTTTCCACATTTATATTGATGTTAATGAATCTAGACATATATTTCTATCTTAGATTCATTAACATCAATATGAATGTGGAAAATCAATATGAATATGGAAAATCAATATGAATGTGGAAAATGCTAGAATGACTTACATTGTGAAACGGAGGAAGTACATGTATATTAAGAAAAAAAAGTTCGGCTGCAGCAGAATATGCATGACAGACTGACAGCACTAAAGACCATATGAGAACATATACTACTAAGGTTGTGTTTAGTTCAGCGCAAAGTTTGGATTTTGGTTGAAATTGAAGATGATGTGACTGAAAAGTTATGTGTGTATGACAGGTTGATGTGATGGAAAAGGACTGAAGTTTGGATCTAAACTTTGGATCTAAACACAACCTAAGTAACCCTCAATTAAATAACCATGAACAACTGAAATGTGTGGGAATCGGCGGCTACAGTAAGTTGACCTGGGAAGAAGATCAGCGGCGGCGGCTGATGGAGAAGCACCCAGCAGCCAGCAGCTAATCACCGTTCTATTCAAACCTTCGATCCAACATTCATCGAATCATTAGACACAGATAAAACCCTGCAAACAAGTTGAAAATTTTAGACATTGTGCATCAATCTAGCCGTGGAAAAACACTAATCTGTTGATTTGCCACTTGTGCGTAAATAGCCTGCTACTCTCCCTCAGATGCGTTCATTACATGCGGGGCAAAAGAAGATGATGTGAATCGTATACCTCGTCGATGGGTTGTCGGCATATCAGCTGGCGCGGACGTGGACGGAGGCAGAATGAGACAGTGATGAAGTTTGGGCGACGCGGAGGAGACACTCGAGGCCGGCGACGTCGCGTCGATCTGGAGGCGGGGATTGACGTCGGCACGGTGGTGGAGCGTCGGCGCTCGATCAGTGCGAAGCCACGCGGCGACGCGATGGCGTCGGCGGCGTCACGAGTCGTGGTCAGAGTGAGGGGTTGTTGGCGGCGTGATTTGCGGGCCTGAGTTGGTGAATTATAGAGTAGATTTGTCAATTAATTTTTTTAAAGAAAAACTACTGTGTGCTGTAACAGTGGAGAGAGAGAGAAACAGTGGAGAGGGAGGGAGAGAGGTGTGTGAGGACATGGCAGCCAGCAACCAGCCGGCCGGTCATAGCGACACGCGACATGGGAGTGGCGAGGCTCACCGGAGGGGCTGGAACGGCAAGGAACAGCAACGGCGACGAGGAAGAAGATGATGCCGGCTCGGGTTGACGTCGGGGATGGAGCTCCGAGGCTTGCCGAGCTCGATGAAGGCGTGGCTGAGGGAGAGGAGGAGACGACGAAGCCGGCGGTGGCTTCGCCGGGACTTGGCGACGCCAAGCGGCGGCTGGAGCGCACGCCGAAACGACACGACGGCGATGGAGCGAGCGTGGTGCTCGAGCGGCACTGGGAATGGGAGAAGGAGGTCTCGGGGGTTTCCTTTATATAGGCTAGAGGGGAGGAGGTCGACCATGAGGATGGGAAACGGCGCTGGCGACAGTGAAGGTCCCTATTGGACACACCGGTTTAAGAAACCGATTAAGTGCGATTTAATGTGGTATTGAGTGCGATTTGTTGACGGAATTGATGCCTACTACACAAGAAATCAATTTTTGCAATTACTTTCAAGGAAAATCAACCGAGGAGGGAGATCAAAGGTAGCGGCGGCACTTGAGTTCACGGGAGAGATGAACAGGTGACGGGCAGAGGTGGAGGACGCTCGTGACGAGTGGGGCCCACCTGCCAGCGCACGGGCGCGCGCCTGGCAGCGGTGGCTCGGAGTGGGCCGGGCAGGGTGGCGACAAGGCTGAGGGAGGGGAAAGAATGAATAAGTTCACCGGCCGTCCCTTAAGATTTTTTGAGGCCCCTTAACCACAAAACCAGAAATGTGCACCCCTAAACTATGTAAAACCGTGCATAAAAGGTCCCAAGACAGTATAGATGCCTGGTTTCGCTGACGTGGCATCCTAGTCAGCAAAAATAATTAAAATTAATATGCGGGGCCCACATGTAAGTGAGAGAAAATGGTGTGGGTCCCACATTTCTCTCTTTTTTTTTCTTTTTCTCCTCTCTTCTCTCTGGGTTCTCTCAAGCGGGCACGGCGGCAATGGGGGAGAGAGGTGGCCGGCGGTGGAGCGGGGACGGCAGCGGCGAGAGAGGAGGAGAGGTGGCGGCCGGCGCGACGGCGAGCTCGCCAGCGAGTGGCACACTCTCCCCTTCGATCCTCTCTCCCTCCATCGCCTACTTGTCTCCGTCGCCACCTCGGGCAGAGTGGGGACGATGGCGGCAGGAGAGGGAGAGAGAGGCGGCCAGCGTGACGGCGGCGGAGGGAGAGAAGGAGATGTGGGCCGGCGCTACGGCGAGCTTGGCGGCGGAGAGGAGCAGCGCGCCGCGCACCAGCTCAGGAGAGGAGCGGCGCGCGGCATGGCGGTAGGGGCGGCAGCGAGCGCAGCGGGCACAGCGGCGGGCGCGTATGAGCGCCAGATGCAGCCGGCGGCAGATGTCCCACCCCTCTTTCTTGCCCACACACGACTGTCGTGGTGGCCGGCGGTGGCTGCGAGGAGGTCCGCGCCGGCAGAGAGGAAGGAGATTGGGATGCCGGCGAGGAGGTTGGCGAGCGCTCGGAGAGAGAGGTGTCGAGGAGGTTGGCGAGTGCTCGGAGAGGGAGGAGGTGGAAGTCGCACCGCTCCTCTACCCCATCGCCGCGCCGCACGCCACTGCTCCTCTCTCCTGCCCGACCCGACCTAGGTCGTACATGGAGTCACAATGCTTGTTATAGCAACGTGGAATAGAATATATCCTTCGTAACAAAGCCTCAGCGATTTCCATTGATGTTGTGGAGCTCATTCGGAGTTTCCTTGAATTTCACCTCACATAGAGTGCAAATGTGCAATGTTGTTGCTCATCTATGTGCAAAGCAGAGGCTACTAGCCTACTAATAATAATAAATGGCGTATCTAGCTTAATTTGTGGTCTTGGATTTTCGTGTATTATGCTTAGAAAGGACTGTACTCCAACTACTCATTAATAAAACATAACTCCTGATTTCGCAAAGACAAAAACAAACAATTCTAATATTAACAAAACTGGCCAGGCATATATTTAGACAAACAAGCTACCTATTTTACTTCTTCCGGTCACGTACACATTTGACGTTGGGAGTATTATATATATATACTCCCAATGTCAAATACACTTGACTGGAGGGGGTACTATATGGTAACAAGTAATATACACGCATGCTACTATGTGTATTAAATTGTATGTTACCATATATGTACAAACCAAACCAAAGGGAGGTGGGGGTGACTGGGCTCTGCCAAGCTGGACTAGGGTGGAGGTAGAGCGTTCTCGAGGTCCGCCTGTGTGGGAGCACGGCGAGCTTCCTCTTCTTCCTGTGCTGCTGACATGGATGCCCGCCTGGCCCTCCATCTGATGATCTGGAGGAGGATGGCGTTGGCGCAGATGGCCACGCCAAAGCCCGCGAAGGTGGACAGGATGATGGCAATCACCGCTTGCAATCGCACCTGCAATGTATATATGCGGCGCAAAAAGATTAAGAAAAAGATAATATTAGATTATATGTAACCTATATATCATTTCGCTGAAAAGCACAATAGTAAATCGGACTTTAAATAGGGTAGTTATAGTTGCATCGCGGTTGAATTGGTAATTGATTTTAGTATGGTACATCTATAAATTTACCTTACATGCTATGTTTACAGAGATAAGTAAGAACAATACTCAATGTAATCTATTTGTTCAAAAAGCTATAATTATTCAATTGGACTTCATGCTAGAAATGCGTTATTTTTCCTAATTCTAATGGTTCCAAATTTTCAAAATGTCGGTAATATCGTCCCCCCCCCCCCCCCTTCCCTGCAGCAGCAAGCACCTATCTTGATGAAATTTTCAGTTTTTTTTGTGAATTTGGACACAAATTATTCAAATTCAATCAAAATTCATTAAAGTTTTAAATAATTTCGTGCAAAAAGTACCGAAAGCACCAAAACTTGCAAAAATTTCGGTCCAAACCGAAAGTGCAAATCTTTATTCTAGCTTCTAAGATATATTTTTGATGTGGTTGGTTTTTTTTTTCTCTTACATATCTGTAGAAGAGGTGGGTGAAAAGCACGATGAAGAGATATTGCACAGCTGAGTAGATCCACACATACTTCCTGGACACTGCATTGACACGTACGCTGATCAGCAATCAATTAATCATTTTTCCTCGTATTATTAGTGAGAAATTAATGGATCATGTTCTTCATGGATGCGCACAGAGAATCAATCAATCAGAGAGATGCGGTGGATGATGATGATACCCATCTTGGCGGTGGTGAGGGAGGAGAAGAGGCCGAGCACGCAGGCGAACGGCAGCGAGATGGCCAGCGCCGCCGTGCCGTGGTCGCCGACGAGCAGCTGCTCCAGGAAGCAGAAGTAGGCCAGCATGCTGACGATGACGAGGATGGTCGTGCCGCGCCACACGCGCCCGTAGCTGTACCCTCCTCGCCGGTTGCCGCCGGCGATGTCGTCACCGGCCGCTGCGGCGGCGGCGGCCGCCGCCGCCGCGGCTGCCTCATAGACCAGCTGCTGGCGGTCGTGGACGCGGCGCAGCGTGACGGGGAGGTTGAGCACCTCGTGGTTGCAGACGTCGCACGTCGCGTTGCCCTTGATGCTGAACCACTTGACGGCGCAGTCGCCGTGCGCCAGCGCGAGCTCCCCCTTGCACCGGCACTCCAGCTTCAGCGTGCCGCCGCCGCCGCCGCTGGCGCCGTCCTCCGACAGCGCCACCATGCATATCCGGCAAACCAGCGCCTCCTCCTCCGCCTCCACGCTGCCGGCGTCGTCCTCCTCTTCTCCGGCGGCGGCGGCGGCGTCCGCATTGCCGTCGGGAGGAGAGGCGCCTATCACCGACACCCTGAACCGCACGCTGCCACCGTCGTGAATACGAAGGGAGCTCGAGTCCGCCACTCTCTTGGAGCCTCCTCCCCCCTTGGAGCTGAATCTCGACAGGGTGCTCATTGGCACGGACTGTGAGCGGCTGATGTTCATGTGGTCACTCGCGTGCTTCGCCTTCGTCTTCGTCTTCGTCTTCGTCGCCGTCGTCTCATCGTTCTTGGCAAATCGAGCGAACAATAAGCAGGCTGCAGGCTGGATAGATAGCTAGATACAATTAGTTAGGCGAAATTACTGTACTTACTGCAGAAATGTGATCACTGCTTGCTGCATCTGAAGGTAGCGGATGATCAAAATCCAGCGACGACGAACAACGCGCAGCATTTGCAATTCTGAAGCTGAAGAGCTTGGAGAAGGACAGCGACCGAGCGCCAGCCACCGGCGCCGCCGCCACCTCGCCATCGTCCCCAGCGCCGGTAGACCTCATGCTCCGTGCTGGCAACAGCCTGCTACTCATTCCCGACGACAGTTTCCTCGGATCACCTGCCGACTCTCTGAAAGCAGCAGCAGCAGAAGCAAGCTCTTGGTGATCATTTCCATATCTTGCCGAGGAGGAGGATATCGAAAGCATCGCCAAGGCACCATTTCTATCTCCTTCCATTCGCATGCTGATGCTACTTCCACACCTACTTCTGTTTGTGTTTACCTGAGCATGCCATTCATGTGCATATACGAAATTAGTTCAGTTAAGAATTTCATCTCCATGATCAAACTAAAAGAACATTGGCAATAGCAAAGCAATGATTGAATTGCAATTGCAAAACAGATAGAAACTCACTCACCTCCTTTGCTTGTTGAGCCATAGCAAGCACTCGATCAACGATCAGTCAGAGGCCATATGCAGGCAGGAGTGTATGGGCAGAGCGTATTTTTATCTTTTGGGCACAAACTCACAATCAATGTGTCATGCATTCGCAATTAATCAGGAAAGCGACGTAGCAAGCGACTGATTGATGGTCGAATAAATGGACCGAAGGGTAATTAAGGGCCGGGGGTGACGTGAGGTGTGAACGAGAGAAAGAAGATCGAGAAGAAGAAGAAGTACTCCCATCCAGCAGCAGCGACTGCAGGTAGCTGCCTGCCTAGCTAGCTTAGTTAGGTTGGGTGGTGTGAAAGGGAAATTAGCTACCTTGATGGAGACTGGTATAATTTTGCAAGCACCACACGGGCCAGAGCTACTGGTAGCTAGTTTAGATGTCTTTGGCTTGAGCTAATTACATCCTTAATGGTTCCATGCACGACACCTCACCCGACAAACAACGATCTCTGGGTGACAGTTCTTGAATTTATATGGTTTGCTGCTCTGTACAGACATTTACATATAAGCTTGCTCGCCTTAGCAACGTTTAGATAATTAATTTCATTACTTAATGTAAAGCATTTCCATTACCTTAAAGTGCATTGCTTAATGAAATATCTCAAGAGAACATATCCGTAGGCTAGCTTATTTCAGAACTTAAAAAATTAAGCAGTATTCCGTTATCACTCTTCAAGGAAAAAATTGAATGTAGGATCGAATAGCTAGAACTAAGCCAACTAGAGGAGATTGAATAGTTGTAGTATCCAAAAACCGAAATTCGATGACGATCGTCCGATCGGATTAGATGCACCGGTCTGATCGCTGGATGATCTCAGGTCTGACCAGTATAGTAGCTCCGGTTTAACCGCCCAATGCCCCAAAGTCGTCTATCACCGCCGTATCCCCGCCGGTCTAACCATGACGATGCCGTCGGAAGGCCCTTTACCATCCTACAGTAAACGGGAGCATAAAGGCAAGCAATAAACAGGAATTGTACGGATGCAACGATTATGGAACCAAAATTACGAAGATATATATAATAGTACCAAAACCCAACTAAACAATACAAATCTGGAGTACTACCAAAACCTGCATCTACACATATATGCGCTCTCTCTGATTAGTTAAGTCGAAGCTAGGAATGACTAGTTATTAACTGTTTTCTGTTTTAATCATGCTAAAGTAGCTAATTAATCATTAAGCGGTTCAAAAAATCCAACAATATTAATTAATATATGTTGCTGTTTTCCCAAGTCTGTGTGCGCTGGAATTAAGCTTGCTTGCTTCATTTCCTGGCCGGCAAGTACAAACGAGGCTAGTACTGCTCATGTGTTGCTGTTGCTTCCCGTGTACCCATTTGACTTGCTAATCCCACTCATCAGTCATTGCGGATACTTGGGATAGCTTCGATTTGATGTATGCTTTAAGGAAATTAAACAAAAAACAATCAATGGAAAGGAAAAGGACCCCTTGATGGAACAAAGGTTGACTAAGTCTCAACATGGAAACTACGTTATTTCTACGCACCATGTTTTGGTACGACCTTAGTAAAAGACGAACTGCATTCACGTGACTATAAGCCAACTTTAAATAGGCTTCGACACTCTTTTCTGTGTCTGTTCTGTACAATTCTTTTTTTCGTTGAGGGCATGTTTGGAAGACTCGTTTTAGGTCCAAAACAATAACAAAATATCAGGTCCAATATTAGTGTAAAATATCACCCCCATAATTTCTTTTACAAAATTTGCTATAGGATATAAAAAAGACGTGTAATTCGCTGGAGAACACCATAAGACACTGTAAAAAAATTGGTAATTAGCTGCTAGAAATTCACGGTATTATTTTATTATTTCCGGAGGAATATGAGAGAGAAACAGATGCGAGAGTACGATTATGCTCCTGCCTTTGTTTGGCCTACAACTAATTGGGTCTGGTTCGAACCAAGACCCGGTCCTCTCTCACGCCTCCGAATCTCCAACTCCTTTCCTCAAACCCTAGAAATTAAGCCAGCGAAGTAGTAGTGGCGACATGGTCCACGACCGACGGCAAGCTTCAACAAGGGTGGTGACGGATTGAAGTTGTGCAGTGATTGCATCTTTGGAGCTGTGAGCCCGGTGTGGCATCGCTGATGGCTAGAATGTTGGCCACTGGGGTGATGTCTGTGGGCACCCGAAAATTATACCGTCCAATGCAATTTGTGATTACCACATAATTTTGGATGAGTGAGATCCATACATACATAAATAGCCAGCCATACCTCAATGTGCCCATAATCACAAACTGACACCATTCGATATAAAATCCACAAAGCCGAATAATAAGCAAATGAGATATTGTTTAGACTTAGCATGCCAGTCAACTTTAGCCTGACATGCCTATCAAACCATAGGAAGGTGGCGACCAAATGTGTTACACATCTCAGGAAACTTTGGCTCAAATTGCTAAAACTCTACAACATCTCAATTTCTCAAAAGTCATACTCATGCTCAGCTAGTCCCTAGGAAAAGTGACTAGCCTCGCACTTTCATCGCAAGCAATTGATGAACATCACGAATGCATAGATTTGGATAAAAGGACAACAAGGTACATATTTTATAATGGGGTTCACAACCCCATTATACAACACAAAATATAGTAGCGGAAGTTTTGCAAATTCACAAGCAAAAGTAAAATCCGTGGTGTACCAACAACCCCACAAGGACAAAACAAAGCTGCAACTACACACTACTGTCATTACCCTCGGCGGGATAGTAGTAGTGCACGTCATCAACACCGGCATCATCACCTGAAAATAGCAACATGAGTACGAAAGGTACTCCGCAAGACATACACCATATATGGTAGTTGTCGATGGAGCGATCCTCCAATAGCAGGGAAGTGCATACTCCTCCCCTATTGAAGATTTGGCCAGGGAGTTTACTACAGATGATGTGTATGTGGGCTGTGAAGTGTTTTCTAGTCTCGGACGAAGGACACTCAACGATTATACAGGTTCAGGCCACCCCGGGGGTGTAACACCTTAGTCCTGTGTTTTTTTTCATTCGGGATTGAATTGGAATACAAGCATCTTCGTATCTCTCTTTTCTCTCCTTTCTAAGTGGCATGTCCTCTTCCTTTTATCAACCAAGGAGAGTGACACAGTGTCTTTCTCATCCTTTACCTCATGCTTGCATGGTTGCCTCCTTTTTCAACAAGTCAAGGACCGCAATAACAACTGTCTTGTGCTCCCTTCTCCACCCGTCATATAGCCAACTCGGTGTGCTCACGCTAACCTGGATTGGTGACACGCCCCCTCCATTAGGTGAAGCGGCGTATCCGAGTGTCGTTGGGCATGCACACCATGTGGCGAGGCCTGTGGCCAGGGGATGAATCATCACTGTAGGCCTCCTCGCACCTTACCACCTAGTCACGCCTTCATAAATCCAGCCCAAATTAAAAATCACTTCCTAAATGGAATAATAGAAATTATTAAAAGCTTAAAACAAATCTCATCAAATGCTAAAATACATCAAATAAAAATTCAATTTTGGCTTGGAGTATTTTTTTTGAATTCTCCATACTTTAATTTGGTCCCTCAATTTTTACTTGAATTTTCATAGAAACCTAAATAATTTTAAATCAACAACAACCAATTTAAGAGTTTCTTAAAATGAGAAAACTAAAGATAATCCTCTCCCTCTCGTTGGGCCAAATCCGGCCCAAAGCGCTCTCCACCTCTTTAGGCCCGCTGCCGGAGTCCCTTTCTCCTCCCTCCCACTCTCCTCATCCCTCTCTAGCCTCTCTCTCTCCCTCTTGGGCTGCAGCCATCTCGGCCCAATTCATCATCCTATCCCTCGGACTGAAGTCCGTTTACCTCCTCCCGCTGGCCACCTCCTTTCTCTTGGGCCGTATAGCCCCGAGGCCCATCTCAGATCCCCGCGGGTCGTGTCCCTTAGCCAAGCCGTCGCCCGTTCTTCTGCCGGTCAAACCCTACCGCCACCGACACGCCGATCTACCTACCCGGACGTTTACCATCCGAATAAAATGCCAAAATTGGTTCCTCTCCTCCTCTTCATGAATTCCCCCATGTTTTTCCCTCTTGATTCAGCCTTTAATCGTCAAATTTAATCTCCGGTGAACCACCGCCATTGATGGCCGACGCCCCACCGGCGTCGTTCTCCTATCCCGGCACCGTTCCACTCCCCAATCTGCTATAAAAGGAACCCTGGACCCTCCTCATCCTCCGTGCTTCCTCGGGACAAGGTCTCTCGCCCCCACGCTGCCCCTCCCCCCCCCCATGCCTCCTCCTCTCTCCTCTGTGCCGGCGAACTCCGGCCAACCCTCCCCGTCGACGGGAGCAGCACCGAACCACACGCCACCACCTTCCTCGGCATCGAAGAGACCTCCTCATCCCCGGCCTCATCTGCGTTTCACCCAAAGGGCGCCGGAAGTGCATCCTCATTGGCAACCAATGGCGCCGCCGCCGTCGTCCTCCTCCAGCCGGCCCTCACCGTCAAATCAAGTGTCTCTGGAGCTCGCCGCTACCTCCACCGGCTTCGCAGCCGCCTCCTCTTCCCCAGCCTCACCTTCGTTTCTCCTGGAGACCGCTGGAAACTCGTCCTCGCCGGTGAACAGTGAATACGTCATCGTCTTCTTCCTCCAGTGGCCCCTCCCTCCTCAGTGGAGCACCGCCTCACTGCGCCGTCACGGCTATCGGCTGCACCTCATCATCCTCAACTACGCCTAGGGTTGGCAACGAGACGGATGGCGGGGGAGGGGGCGGCGTTGGACAAGAACGGTCCCGCCCCCACTCTCTTGCGTGTTCACCCGGCCCCGGCCCGGATTGGAGAATGGGACGAAATTAGTCACCATCCCCGGCCCCTCCGGGGCCCCGCCATCCGACCAGGTTCCCGCACACCCGGTGCTAGCGACAGTCGAAAGGAGAGTAGAACAAAGTGGGAACCTGTAGCCAGAAGGAGAGCAAGTGAAAGACGCGAGGAGCCAACGGCCGGCAGGATGGGGGAAACAGCATGGAGCATCGCATCAGAGAACCTATAGCTGAGAGTGGTGGCAAGGGGCAGAGTAGTCGGTGCTAGCTGCGGGCGGCCGCCTCCTGGGTGAGCGTCGCAACATGCGTCCGTAGCAGCAACGCCAAATGATTTTTCTTCTCTCTGCTTTTTTCTTTACGCGAGCCTCACACGATTGCGTTGTGCCCCCGCCGCCAGAAATGTTTCGTCGTATTGTGGGGATGGCACCGCACCATATGGGTTAGGGTTTGCTTCTTTTGTATTTATATCTCCTCTAAACTGGGCTACACAAGCTCATTGGTGGTCTTCCAATAGCAAACTATATCTGGGCTATCCTTGATGGGCTATTAATATGTAATAGCATATATTTTGTACAATACTTCGGGGCCCCTACGGGTGACCCGTGGGTGATGCAGCCAACCCGGCCTCAGCCCCGGAAAAAGTCGGGGGCCCGCCCTCTCTCACCCGTCGGTGAGAATTCTCTACCATCCCCGGCCCCGTAGGAGCGGGTCCCCGCAGGGGAGCCAGCCCCGTGGGGGAAATTACCACCCCTAGCTGCGCCTCCTCGTTATCCGAAGATTCTCGGAACACCTCCCCATCGTAGTTGACTACTTCCAATCGTCATTCTCGCCAAGACGAAGTGTCGCCCATCGTTTCGTCTCCGTTACCCTCCTCCATTCGTCGCCGCTGCACCAAGGTCGTCGTCGCGTCATGCCCATGGTGAGAACCCCTCCTTCACTGTCCTATCCTCATTTTATCGGCGTCGCTGCCGTGCCGCGGTGCGCCGATGACCTCTGGTCCCGTCCGCCGATGCAAGTTGTTGTTTTCCTCCCGCGTACAGCCACATATTTGCGCGTGTGGTTGCTTACGTGGCTTCACACACAAATTAATGGTATAATAATAATTAAACAACTTGGAAATATCCATTTAATTACACTTAAAATTCGGATGATCGTTTCTCGGCCAAACGAGCTCCTAATTGATATGTTGAAATTGTTTAATTTTTGTTATAACTTAAAGAAACTGTGGTTGTTGTTTTTATGTATTGTTACCGTATCTTTGATAGAGTTGTATCCCAGTTTTGTTGCTCGTGCAGTTGTTTCGGAAGTTCCTGAAGTGCATATCAAATTGTCGGAAGACCTTTTGTTTGAGCAAGGCAAGTCATACCATATTGCTTGGACATTAAATCCCATTATTGCAAAAACTATGTTGATTCAATTCTATATGCATCACTTTTATAAATTATATGACTCTTAATGTTCTTTATTTAATAGTTAATATTCATATGATCATTGTTATATAGCCATGTTGTTGAATTTCTAACCATGCTCTTGTCAACCTAAGTAAAATGATAAAATAACAAGTATGGCTCCGTATATGATGGACTTACTAGTTGCTTTAGGTTGAGCTTATCTATACTTAGATCCATCGAAGAATCCCTTTTACAAATTAGAATGAGAGTAACAACTAAAATATGTAGGAATGACGATTAGGTGGCTGCTTGAGCTAGGACATGATGGAATCTGAGTCAAAACTCTCTAAACCTGTTTTTGTGAGGCACGAGGTGTATGGTTTTGTTATAAGCACCTCGGGCCTGTGATGCGAAGCATAACAGTGCAATCACAAGTCTAATGGGTAAGGCTTGCCTAGAAGTCTAGATCATCTCAAAACAAAGGACATCGATATGATAGGTCTGGGGCTAGGGGATGCTGACTTTGACCTGGCGCACAAGGGGGCATGTCTCGTCCCGGGGGATTCGGCAACCTTTACGTTGTCGAGGACCAGCGGACGGCGAGACCTTTGCGGGTCCTTCTGTTTTGGGTTGAGCTAGGTGGGTAGTCTTGTCACGATCTTGACTTTTCGGGTATCTTTCGGGTATTGCGATGCATAGCTAACATGAAGTTAAGTGTTGTGCCTTGTGGGTAAAGATGTACACCTCTGATCAGAGTAAAACTATTCGAATAGCAACGCCCTCGGTTATGGGCAAGCCTAGCAATGTACCCAAGTTAGTTTTTATCTTCGAAGTAATGGATGGAATTCATGTCACTTTGGACAGGTGGTTAACCTGGGTTTATGGCCGGTATGCATAGGTTCACAACCATGATAATATTGCTTAGAAATAGAACCGAGTTTAAACTATGCTTTAAAAACATTAAAATATTGCAACTTTGCCTTTACACAAAAAGAACCTATTATGCCACCTCTTTGTTCACCTTTCATTATAATTCATTTTCCGGCATGGCTTGCTGAGTACGATGGTTGTACTCATTCTTGCTCAATCTTTCCCTCTCCGATCAGAGAAGCTTTTCGAAGAACAGGTCTTAGGTGTAGTCCTGGCTTTACTTCTAGTTGAGTGCCTCTAAAGATGGACTAGTAGGCTCACTAGTCCGCTGTTGTTTTTCTTTTGTTGTCAAGCCTAATATGTCTTTGTAATAACGTAAATATTATCTTGATAATTAATAAAGATGTGTCTTTTGTACCAAGTTTATTCTGGTGTACCCTGGCTTTTCCTAGGACGAGGAATTATACACTAGCGTTCGGGAAAGTTATTTTCCAGGCGTGATAAGCTGGTATAAGAGCCATCACAACTGTGGGATAAGTCAAACAGACAAACCCTAAGGACTTATTTTGTAAGAAAAGACTATTTGCAAAAATCCCTTTTTGTTTCTTCCCCTATGCTTTTTGCAAAGTGTTTATCTCTCCCACCCTTGCTACACATAATAGCTGAACAAGGTGGTAGAAAAACTTAGTAACATTTACAATACCAAATTAGTTTCATTAAATTTAACACTAGATATATTTTGTATTGAAAATGTTAGTAAATTTTACTACAAACTTGGTCAAACTTAAAAAAATTTAACTAAAGAAAAGTCAAACTACTTATAATATGAGTACCATTTTGACATTTCATCTTCCTTAAGGTACGTTAGGCGATGAACAGTCATAATTAATTCTGAACACAGAAGAAGCTTTCGAAGGAAGAAGATGGAACTGAATGGTGACCCACATGCAGATTGGGAATTTCGGTCCATACAAAAAATACAACAAAAAAATATTCAAAATATGTATGATGGGTACAAAATGGCATTTCTAGTTTTAGAAATATTGCAAAAGCATGTGTACAAATAGGTAAATATGTGAATAGTAATGTATTTTTTTTCAACATAACAAATGCGCAATGGCATGATCAAATTTACCCAAGAACAAAGAGGTAAAAGAAATATATATTTTATCGACTGGTTCGTAGTTATCCTTCATATTTATTGGGTGTGAAGAAATTACTCCTTACACAAGTTGAATTCATGAAAAAATCCATAAATAATAAAAAAACTCTCCTTTTAAACTACCAAAAACAGGATTATTCGGATAAGAAAAATGGAACATTCGTTTTCTCGAGATGTGTCATTTTCTTAGTCAACACGTCCAAACACCTGATTTGCTGAAAATATATGGATTGTCATGCATTGCTAGTAGTGCTTTGAGTTATGCTTATATTATGACATAAATTTTGAACGCTAGATATGTTTCTATTTTGGACCGGAGAGGGTATAAAATTCTTTTTAGTGACTTGTTAAATAGAATACTAGCGTCTACTGGCTGGGTTCCTATACCTGCTATCAGCCCGTGTTTTTAACCCAACAAAATTTAACAAGTCATAGGAAATATAGTTGATTTAGAACGCTAGTACAAAACCGACCCATCCGAAGGTAACATGGACTAAAAACCACTATCTCTATGACTGGATCACCGTTAAAATCGGCCTGACAAAATCCCTATCTTATCTTAAAAAAATTACCGCAAGTTTTCAAGTGAAAAACTTTCAGACATAACTATAATATAATTGGAATATAATTACATTATAACTACACTGTAACTGCATTGTAATTACATTGTAACTATAATATAATTTATATAAAACTTGTATTTGACTTATGATTTGTTTGACTAACACTGGGATCTTACGCGTGATATGTGTAAAAATTTCTTTTTCGTAATTTTTTCCCTCTCATGTATAAATCTTGAGATGATTCGATGGTAACAATTCTGAAAGTTTTGAAGAGAGAACTTGAAGTAGTTTTCTAAAAATTTCGTTGGAGAAAAGCTCAAGCGCACTGCACTAGTCCATTTAATTGAACCAAGTGATTTTGCGCTTGCTGGTTTGATACGTTGCTAGCACCGAGATCTGATCTTTGCTTTTCCTTTTTTTTTTTTTGGAAGAGGTAGATCTGATGGTGGCAATTTTACTCTAGTTTATTAAAATCAAATATCCATGAAATAGTCGCAATGATTGAATTGTAAACAATATTACTACCTACGTTTTATAATAATTAATGGTTAAAGTTTAAATGGTAAATTCAAAATTGCCCACTATTAAGAAGCGGAGAGAGCATATGAAGTTCAATAGTTGGAGACTCGAAAAATGGCAATTCATCACTAAACAGCGATGGCAGTTTGTAGGCACCGGTTGGCAGTGGCCAAGAGCTCTTGATGGTGAACGCAGAAGCGGAGAAATTTCAGCGAAACTGCATCGCTATCACTATCACAAGTTACATTCAGCTTGGGCATCGCGTCATCGTCTGGACCTCGGCGAAAGATGGAACGAGTCACGGATCCTTCGATACAGAAGTTGATGCCAAGTCAGAGTAAATTGTTGTACGTGCCTTTCACGATTTCATACCTCAGCTAGCTTGTCCTAAGTCGAAAGAGTAAACGGTGAACCTACCAAGAGAATCTCACCTACAAATTACAATTACAACTTGCGCAAATTAAAATTGCCGCAGCTTGCGACCTGACCAGAGGCAGCCCTTAAAAAATTTGTTGTTTGACCACTCAAATGTACAAAGAATGGACTTGAAATCTAGAATGCCGAGTGCAGATAATCTACTAGTATTAATTTCAGCAAAGGCGATTTTTTTTCTTACTGAAGGCTTAAATGGAAACCGCTCCAAATTGAGTTGGAACAGTATTTAAGAACAGCAAACATCCTTGCAGTTTCAAACTTTGGAGTACAGTTAAAGAACAGCACCAGCAAAAACAGCACTAAATCAACATTTTATTTCGTCTCTCAGACAGTACCATGCTGATGATGCGCACGACCAACACACAACACATGCTTACATATTCACAAAATGTATGTAGGTAATGCACTTGAAGGTTTGAGATGCTACAAACAAATGAAATCATTTAGTCCATTGAAGAGTGGCTTGTCAACATACTTACACCAAACTGACTGGATACAGCTGAACAACTAGATCAGTTATTCTGGGTTTCTAAGCGAACTTCTTGTCGAGGTGACGGTCTATGATTTCAGATACGGTTTCTAAGAAGATTACTTCACTTGACCCTGGGAGAACATGGCCCTCGGCTTCCTGGACGATGTCCTCAATCTCAGAGTCTCTATTCACAGTTTCCCTGCACAGTATACGCCCGATGTCATACGGTGTGAGGCCTCGTGCTGCACCTTTCTTTAAAAGCATGGTGCTGATGCACAGGACACGAGCACATCTTGCAGACAGCTCCCACCCATGGAACTTGAGAAGCTTGATGTCCTCTTCAGCGTCTAGTGATTTGATGTATGCAATGGTTTCATCACTGAATGGTTCACGAGCCTGGGGCCAGTACAGCCACTCAAAGGTACAATCTTCAAACTGCGTCACAATGGAAAAAAAATTATCGTTAGTCTACCAGAATAAGTACTATCTCATGCAAGAAGAAAAGTGAGTGCTAGAGAGTAACGTGTACCTTCTCTGGCAAGCAGTAACCATGATCAATTGGAACCAACTTGTAATTGCCACCTTCTTCATCCTTGCACACTAAAATGTTCCCTGCATGACGATCAGCGTTTGCTAACCTAAGATCTAACACTGCTATTTTGTGGACCTCCTTCACTGGAAATGCTCGGGGACCCATATCCTCACAACTTCCATTGTTCTGAATGAACATCTGCAGTGATCCAATCTTGAAGCTCTTCCCCCTGTGTAAGCTCCGGACCAATGCTGTGGGAGGCACACCAGAGAACCCGATACGTTCTTCAGATTCATGATCACCAATTGGATGGTCAAGAATATAAGCAGCAACTTCCCTAAATGCACCTTCCCCTACAAGTGTCCCCCTCTTCATGCCTTCTCCATCAGTCGACACTGGAAGCCCTCTTGGGTTGTTTTTAGCCATAGGTTCCTCATCTCTGGGCTTAAACACTGCAATATTCTTCTCTCCTGATGCATCTTGCATGAAGTAAACACCCCCTGAACCTTCAGCTGACATCACTGGCAAGTATCCATTCTCAAGACCAGCTATGGCTGAGCTAATCATTCTCATCACTTCAAGTGATAGCTTCACCTTGTGGTTAACGATAATTGGTTCAACAAGAGCAGGCCTAGCACCAGCTGGTTTAGCAGGGTTCACAGCATGAGCTTCATTTTGAAGGTTCTCTTTCTCCTGCGGAGTGACAACTGTAACCACCGTGTCTTTATCAACTTGCTGTGTCCGTAACTTTGCTGGCTTGCGGATGAACAAATGGATCACAGCATCATCCTTCTTGCTAATATCAGCAATCAGCTGGTGGTCCTCAAGCTCCTTGCCATCACATTCAAGCTTGTGATCCTCACCAAGGTCCTCATCTCCCTCCACTGCCAGCTTACTCTTGAGATACTTGACATTGCGGCTCTGGTCCACCTGGAACTGAAACTTCTTTCCACTGGTAGTCTCGATGTTAATCAAGCGAAGATCAGCCAAGCGGATAACAAGGTGCAGAACATTTCCATCGGCAAGCCCATAATCCTTCACATGGCAGTTGTTCCTTGCCAGCTCGTGCCCATCAAGCACAAGCCTCTGCTTGTTAACCACGAACCCCTTGAACCGCTGAATGCGCAGCTTGACCGAGGCGATGGACTCCGAGCCGAGCACACTCATCGGCATCGGTGGGGCACCAGGCACAGCAAGAAAGATGATAATCGAATCCTGCAGCTGTGACCCGGACAAACAGTGGGGCGACCGGCTGCCGTCGAAGCAGATGGGCAGGAGAGCAAACTCTTCCACCATCGGGCTAATGGCAATGGCAGCAGACGACATCTTCACAGGAGGTCCTTAGGATGCCGAAGCTTCCTCAACTACTGCTACTATTTACACTAACCTAAAAATCAGATCCTTCACACTACGAATTAGAAGCCATGGAGAAGAAAGGGCAAGGGTTCCTTTCCTTCCTTAGAGGATGGAGGAAACCCTCTGCGATCGCGAGATAACCAGCGTGGTTACAATCCCATCTTGATCTCCAGGCACATCAAACCTGCACAAAATTCAGAGAGCCATTCGTTATTAACCACCGAAACATTCAACCGAAGGGGAGAAATTCCAGAGCATGAAGAGAAACGTACCAGACATGGTTAGATGAGGGGGAGAAGTGACGAAATATCTCGCCTTTGCCCACCAGTGATTGAATCCCCCACACGGAATCTACAAAGGAGAAATCATTCCGGATCGATCAGCCTCAGACCATCAAATCCACCCGATCCCCAGGGTAAATTCAGCTCAAATTAACACAAAAAACCAGAGAAATTGCTCACCAGAAGAGGGATTAATCAGGAAGGGCCCGAACCCCCTCCGATCCGGACGCCAACCGAGCCACAACCTCACCGATTCACCTCACTCCAATCAAACCCTGCAAGCACACCACCACACCACCACACAGATCAGAAAAACTCCCCACCAATCCAAATCCCAAGCCAACCGCCCCAAAAAAAAAAAGAAAAATAATCTCACAAGAATTCACAGGACAAATCAGCGGGGGATTCACCGCAAGAACCGACCAGAGGAGAGGAGGGGGGATACCCCGGAGAGGGGGGCGGGGCTAAATCCGGCGCGGCGCCTTGTTCTTCCTTGCTCCGAAGTTCACGCGAGATGGGGAAGCTTCGGTTTGGTTTTGGTTTGGGGAGAAAGAAATTCAGAGAGAGAGGGAGGGGAAATGGTGATGGTTGTGGGGGCAGCTGATTTATTCGGCGGAGGCGGGCGGCCGTCACCGTCAGTTTCCAGGGCTGACGGCGTGAGCGTGACGTGACGTGCTGTGGGGAGAGAGAGAGAGAGAGGACGCGCCTTCGCGGAAGTGGGGCCGATGGAATCGGAAGGGGAAAAAAAATCTCCATTGTCGGGGCTCGAGGGTATACAGCGGTTTTAGGATTTTTTTTTTTTTGTCGGTATGCTTAGCACACGGAGCAAGAGGAAAGAAGGATGGTTCTAGAGACACCATAGATAAGAAATCCAGGTTGGGATATTTTGATCTTTAATAATGATGAGTACGAGATTATTATTACACGTCGAACATTGTATTAATCCATATACACTTAGAAAAAACAAACCTAAACAAATAAGATGAGTGAAAACAAACTTGCACACACCAGATGCCAAAAGTCCCCCAGAAAAAGGAAAAATGTATGCTGATGATTATCGAAAAAAAATACTTGATTTAGTCATATAGTTTGGCCTACAGTTAATTAGAAACGAATAAAATATTATATATGTATTCTTAGTGTCTTAAAATTACATATACAAATGAACTATAACAAAAATATCAAAATATTTTGTTTTCTTATCAAGGGCAAGATGCCCCCATTTCTTTTTATTAGAAATGAGATGACTAAAAAAATATAAAAATATGTATAAGTGAATTTTAAATTTTAGCTGTCGCTGAAAATCTAAGACTGTGTTTAGTTCACGTGCCAAAATTTTTTCAGTATACGGATACATATTTAAAGTATTAAGCGTAGACTAATAAAGGCATCCACAATGTGGAAATATAGAGGGTCTTAAGCCCTTGAGTAGTCCATATACATTGTGAGAGTGAGCATTATAAAGGTTTCTTGGATGAGCTACCATTAGCTATAATATGCATGGCCATAAGGAATAAAAAAACATTCTTCTCTCTATAGGTGGGGGAGAGAAATTGGAAAGGTGTAGTAGTTGGTTATAGATGATAAAAGGTGGGACCCACCTTAATACCTCCTCTTGCTATATACACTGTGTGAGAGATGCTATATAGCAATAGAGCCCACATTGGACCTATCTTAAAGACCCACTTGAGCATTATACATTACTGATGTCTTAACAAAACAAACTACAGATTCCGCCTGTAAACTGCGACACAAATTTATTAAGCCTAATTAATTTGTTATTAGCAAATGTTTACTGTAGCATCATATTGTCAAATTATGGTATAATTAGGCTTAAAAAATTCGTCTCGCAATTTACATGCAAACTGTGTAATTGGTTTTTTTTCATATTTAATGCTTTATGTATGTGTTTAAATATTTTATTTAATATGATGGAACTTTTAGAAGTTTGAAGGGTACGGTAAACACTGCCTAAAATACAAAGGAAATGTATAAAGCCGGCCTGGGCCCTCCTCCACCCAACGTGCCTGCCTGCCATCAATCTCCTCCATCGACAAAACAAAACAAAAGAAAAGAAACACGATCACCTCACTGCCTTGTGGGGGCACACACACTATGTTCAGAACGGTCGGCGAGAGGAGCGGGCGGAAGAAGAGTCAGAGCAAGGATGGTCGGTCAGGTCAGTTTCTCTGACTCAGCCAGCCCCATCCGTGCCGTGGCCGTGGCCGTGGCCGTGGGGAAGACGAAAGAAAAAAAAAAAGAGTAAAGTCCATCACCGATCCCTAAACTTTTACCGCTGTATCATCCCGGTCCCTAAACTCGTAAATCGACCGTTCAGGTTCTCAAACTTATTTGATTGTGTCATCCCGGTCCTTAAACTTGCAGATAACTCGTTTAGGTTCTCCAACTTGTTCAGTTGTGTCGCCCCGGTCCCTAAACTTGGATTTGAATATCATTTGGGCCAAATAGGACAGTCTAAAGACTTTATATTTAAAAATAATTTATAACTTTTTCATGTGAACTCTAATGAAGACAAACTTTATATCAAACTTGTAGCCCTCGACGCGATCTACAACTATGTAGTTGATTTTTTTTATTTTAATTCATTTTTTGTCCCAAAATGTAATTTTAAAATTAAAATTTCAAAATCTATAAACATGCAACAATATTTTGGGACCCTAAACAGTTTTAATTCAAAAACTTTTCAACTACAAAGTTGTAGGTCGCGTCGAGTGCTACAATTTTGATATAAAGTTTGTCTTCATTAGATTTTGCATGAAAAAGTTATAAATTATTTTTTGATATAAAGTTTTTTGACCGTCCTGTTTAGGGACCGGGGTGACACAACTGAACAAGTTGGAGGATCTAAACGAGTGATTTACAAGTTTAGAGACCGGAATGACACAGTGAAACAAGTTTGAGAACCTGAACGGTCGACTTACGAGTTTAGGGACCGGGATGACACAAAGGTACAAGTTTAGGGACCAGTGATGACTTTACTCAAAAAAAAAAAAAAGCAAGCCACAGGAGGGGAGCTGGAAAAGGCCGGGGGAGCGGACTAGGGGCTGTTTGGTTGAAGCCCTGAGCCAAAAGAGCCTGGCGTGATGTGTCCCTGAGGGATATCCTGTGTTGTTTGGTTGGTGGCCTGGTTTCATTCCCTGCCTGATCTGAAAAACCTGATAGGTTCATTAGCCTGGCTCAGGCCACCAAAAACGAGCGCCTGGCTCAGGCTAGTTACACAAAACGCGCTAATCAACCTTGTCCTGTCACGGGCCCACGGCTGTGCATGCAAAAAGTGTTGGAATATTTTATTGTTGAATCTTGGTTGGTGTAAACGAACTGAAAATACAACATTTGCTTATATGCGATAGATTAGGATATGAGATAGTACCGTTTTATTTACTTTCTCCGTTTCACAATATAAGTCATTCTAGCATTTTTCATATTCATATTGATATTAATGAATCTAGATAAATATATATGTCTAGATTCATTAACAACAATATGGATGTGGAAAATGCTAGAATGACTTATATTGTGAAATAGAGGGAGTAAATAATATCTACCTTAACCATGTAATTATGAGCCATCTAATCTCAATTTAGTTTCCTCAGGCTCAGGCTACCAACCAAACAATATTTGCTCAGGCTAGCATCATCAGGCAAGTTTTGATAGGATAGCCAATGCCTCTCAGGCATGCAGTTTTCTCAGGCACATCACCTCCAACCAAACAGGTTAAAGGGATTAGGCCGGGGTGCGTAGGCCGTGACGCGTCGTCTTAACAGGAGACGGTGTGCGCCGTCCGTGTCCGTCGCCAAGGACGCGTGTGCCTACGTGTGGGTGTGGCTGCTTGTGCTTGCGGGTGCGACTGCGACTGCGACTGCGGCCGGTGCAAGGAAGGAATGGGAAACCACGGGCGTCGACCCAGCTGTTTGCGTTTTTTGTCGTTGTGTGTCGCCTTCTCTACGTGGGCACGTCTGCCCCTTTTCTTTTTTTTGCCCCACAACTTCCACTTGCCTTTTCCCCGCGATGCATGGAGTGGACATTTTCTCCTCGTCCCGGTTCACCCTCTCCGCCCGTCCCTCTCGTACCCCTTCCAATCCTGCGTTATAATCATTTACTAATGATCTGTCTATTTTGCTTCAAGAAATTTAGCTCAGCTAAACGTCCATCCCAGACGCATCCTCATATTAGCTACTCCCTTATATATTGCAGGCAAGTTTCTTAAAATGCTAAACAAACTATTTTTTTCAAATACTTTTATATAAAATTTATTTTAAAAATTAAATAAACCAAAATTCCAAGTTGTAATACTTGATACTTATAATTAATAATATACTAATGTCTCGTTTCGCAACAAGTTCAAAATCAAAGCCGATAAACTCATTCAAACTATACATTAGAAAATTGCGGGCCAGTTGAATTAGATTTGATTATAACTCTCATATTTTTATACATACAATTATATTTATATACAACAGATACTAAATTTATGATGGGATTTAATATACAACTATTTTATTTTCTTCTGTTTTTATTGTACTTTATTTACAACTATTGTTATCAACTATACTTGTTATAATTTGGTCCTACAAAAAGTCTTGGAAAAATATCAATCTTTATATGTAGCATCCTTAGACAATATCGAAATTTGTATATTATGTATATCTCAAAAGAAATTTCCATGTTTTTAAAGAACTTTTTTATGTAGCTGAAAGACAAATTACTTAATTAAAAGATAGACGCGACAAAAAAAATTCTTTTATCACATGAAAGATGATTTTCATAAAAGAAAATCAATCACAGAAATATTCTATTATCAAATAAAACAAATTATATTTTAAAAAAATTAATACATGAAAAAATCTTGAATCTACACAAAAAGTTCTGCATTATATAAGGATGCTGCGCACATTTTTTTAAAAAAATTTAACTTAAGCGAATCAATCAATTATCAATCAGTATATGTCTTGAAAGACAGTTTTAGAAAAATATCTGCTCCAACGGCATATTTTGAAAATAATTGATAAAGTCATTTTTTCACTGCTAGTAGCACATTGGTTACACTTTTTTAGTTGTAACATAGAAATATAAGTTTTGAATCATAGATATTCTATACTCAGTTGTCTTAAAATATAACAACTTACTATGATAAATCTAAACAAGCTTCTTATCTATATTCTATATTAGATTGCTAACTATGTAGATAGTATTTCCCATGCCATTACAAATTTACCTATTTAGAAAAATATCATTACAATTCGTCTATACGTAGCCGTGACACTGAAATTTTACAAAATTGAATCTATGCCATCGCTGTCACGTTCTTCGTCACTGTCGTTTCTTTCTTCCTTCCTCTCTCCTCTTTTCTTCTCTTGGCTGCCGTGGGCGTCAAGATCCAGCGTCGGTCGTCGGCACCGGCAGAGAAGTTGATGCTGCCGCCAGGCACGATTCCTTCCCGCGGCTCCACCCTCTGTGTCACCTCCTCCCTTCCTTCCCTTTTCTTCTCCCAGCTACTGCGGGCGTCAAGATCCAACGCCAATCATCGGTGCCTCTGTGTCACCTCGTCCCTCCCTTCCCTTTTCTTCTCCCGACTGT